TATTTTAGTTATTTTTATCTTAGTTTTAGGAATACAACTTATATTTTTTTTAAACACATTTCTTAACCACTCATTCATGTTAAGTCAAGTAATATTCTTGCTTGATTTAACTAGTGACGACATATTTACTAAACAAATATTTAGAATCTAGTTAGATTAAGCAACCATATTACACCATAGAACATTTTAGATATACAGTACATGTGAGTGTTCAATTTTCATATATGTAACAATATATTATACAAAAAATTTGCTATTTGTTTACTATGAAAATTGATCAACATACCCTCTACTCTTAATGATTAACTCTGACTTCAAATATTAATTTAAACCAAAACAATATCAGATTAACTATAAGTATAAGATACAAAAAGCTCTAATAAGCTTAATATAAAGTTAAATATAACTTAATAACTATAATATATTTGTACTAAGATACAGTTAATAAAGTAAAAATAGATATAAGAACTAGAATATTTAAATAAAGAATTTATAAACAGGTTTTAAATAAAACAATTAGTATAAAACTTTCAAGCAGATTACTTAAATTAGACAATGACTAAAGTTGTATAAGTAGTTAATTGTATATATACTCTTTTTATAATTACTTTTGTAGTTATTGTATATAACAATCACAAGTTAAATATTATCAATAAACTTTTGAGTCATATGTACTTACCTTAACATTAAAAAAAAACATTATGAATTACAAATATTTATCTTAATATTAAAAAAAAATAAATAAAAAAATAAAATCTTAAAATATTAAATTAATAAAACCTTTTTTTTAAAAAAAATCTTAGTATTAATATTAACATTATTTGTGTTACTTCAGATACTTAAGGATAAAAAGTATATAGATCATTTTTATATAATTATGCATGGTATATTAAAAATTTTTAACTAAAATTAATATATGTTACTAATAAAACTTTTTTATTTTTTAATTAATTAATAAAAAAATTTTGTATTATAAATAAAATTATTTATCTATTATAGTAAAATTTTGAAGTATTGTATTATTTTAAAAAAATATACTTGTATATATATAATAAAGTTTACTTAGATTGGTTAAAATTTTCTTAGATAATATAAAAATAAAAAATTTGATTAATCAATTTATATAAATCTAAAAGTTACTTTTATGATATAATTTTGTATCTTAATCTTTAAAAATTCATATCTTAATAAGTTTTTAACCTATTTTAATAATTTTACTATCATTAGAATCAAAAAACCTACTCTACAACTTTTACTTAATGATTAAACTTAGTTTACTTAATATAATTTTTTTATAAAATTAAATATAAAAAAAATTTACTATTAGACTTATATATAATTTTAAAATACTGCCTTCTACCCTTAGATTTGATTGATTAAAATTTAATTATGTTTAAAACAAAAATACAACCTACAAAAAAATATATAAGTTAAGAGAATATTATAATACATGTTGAAAAAATACGGTATTTATAATTATATATATCTATTTATACTAAAAATTAACCTAAACGGATTATAAAATTTTATTAATTTATATATTTACAAATTTACATTTTAAATAATATTATAAAATTTTTTTAATAAACATAATTAGTTTTATATACTAAACTGTTTAATATAAATAATATAAAAGTAAACTATATAATAAACTTATTCAATACCAAATAAAATCTTTCAAAATATGTAATTTGATATATCTAAATTAACTACATCTGATATTAAATATATATACTATTTGTATACTGTATATATATTTAAAAAAGATTTATTATACTTTTATATAAATAATTTTATAATATATACATGTTGTCTTAAAAAATTTTATACGTACGTACAATATACGTACGTATTAGATATATATTTTGATTGTCAAAAAATAATAAACAATAATTAGTTTCTTACGTATATGCATATTTATTATTACATATTATTATTAAACATATGTATATAAATTATAAACAGAATACGTACGTATACGTATATCTTTTAAAAAATTTCCTAGTTTATTTATATACGTATTATAGGATAACGTTTAGATTAGAGTTAAGGATAAGAACAATGTAAATTTGCTCAAGAAAAAAAAAACTTTTTGTTAGTATATGAAAGGTTTTTTTATGCGGGGGGGTTTTTTTTTTGAAGTTTGTTTTTTTTTTTAATCATGGTACATTATACTAAAAAATTGTAACTTACTATTCGAGATGCTCAAAAAATTTCCGAAATTCTCGTTACGCAATTTAATTTAATATCACGAGTAACTGGAAATAACAGATTTACTATTTATATTAAAAGTTTTTTTTAACGTTAAAACAAAAAAAAAGTACGTATAATATTTATACGTATACGTATATAAGTTTTATATACATATTTTTTTTAATTAAAACAAATAAATAAAAAAGAACTCTTAAAAAAACTCGTATATATTTTTTTAATATACGTAAGTATACTTGTAAGTATCAACATATAAAATTTAATCTATTTTAATAAATATAATTCGTTAATGTATTTAAGATTCATTTGATATAAAAAAAATTTTTTTTTTAATGTTGATTATACGTAATTCAAAAAAAAGTTTTTTTTTTTTTTTAAAAAAATGTTCAAGATTCTTTTTTTTTGTTTATTCACAATTATGAAAAAAAAGGTGTTTGTATAAAAGAAAAGGGAAATTTTTTGTGTAATTTTTAAAATACCATGGAAGCAATGAAAAGCTTTATAAAGCTTCATTAACACTAAACCCGACCCAGTTGTGTATATTACTGTATTAATACTCATGCAAAAGAATATCTTCTCATATTAATGAAATTTTTTTTTTTGTTATGAAAAATATAAACAGCGATAAAAAAAAAAAATAAAGTTTTTTTTTATCAATTATTAACTAATTCATAATTTCGTTCTTATTCACAAAACCTCCAATCAAAAAAAAATATATATATCAAACTAACTACAAACAAGATAAACAAGAAAAAATTTACAACTGTTTTTTTTTTTTTTGCTTGCATAACAAAAATATACAAAATGACGAATTATATAATTCGCCAGAAGGAAAAAAGTGAAAAAAAAAGTGAAAAAAAAAGGAATGCTCAAGAAAAAAAAAAGAAGAAAAAACCACAAAAATTATTCTAATTAATCTTATTACAAACCATTATCATCACTATCAACATTATCACCAAAATCAAAATTATAATCACATTTCAACATTATCTATTTTTCAACAGCAAATTAAACGACTTTTTTTTACTCTTCATCTTTTTGAGATTGTAGGTATTGCTCCATTTCTCTCGCATATCTAGCTTTGTCATCAGAAGCTTTTTTCTCCCAAGGAGCTCTTTCTTCGGGTGTTAAATTCTTCCAATGGCCAGCAATAATTTTACTAATTGGACCAACCGTACTACCAGGATTTTGTTCAGCAACATGAGGTCTCATTTCTAAAGCATAGAATAAGAAACCAGACATTGGATGTTTAGGTGCAGTTGGATGTCGACTTCGTTTTTTCTTACGACCTCGAGGATCTTTTTGTGGAGAAGTTGCTGGTGAACCATCACGATTATTATTTCCATGTGAAGAACGAGGATCTTCTTCAGAATCAGAATTTTCATTTGGAGGGAAAGTACGTTTTTTGGAATAACTGTGATGACCAGCAGCAATGAGTTCAGCTTTTGATCTACGAGTATAAACAAAATCAGGATGTGACTCATGGAATTCACTCTTCAAATCACGAGCTTTCTGAAGGTATCTTTCTCTTTCATCCTATTTTTTTTAAATATATATATATATATATATAAGAACAAGCTAATACACAAGATGCAAAATGACGATGAAATTAATCTGAACGGATTTACCTCAGACATATTACGCCAATTCTCTCCAATTGTTTTTGAAATCTCAGCAACACTCATATTAGGATTCATTTCTAAAACTTTTGGACGCATTTCTTTATTGAATATTAAAAATGCATTCATTGGTCTCCTTAATTTACGATCTCTTCTAGCAGATAAAACTGGTGTGGTAGTAGAAGAAGTTCCAATAGTTTGAGGAGTCCGTAACTGAGGTTGCTGTGTAGTGGACTGAGCCTATTTAAATAAAAATAATGGGGATTAAATAATTGAATAACTAGGATGACTAAAAAAAAAAAGGTTGACATTGTAATACAATAATATACCTGTGGAGTTGCAGCAGCAGGAGTGCTTCTTGGTTGTTGAATAGGAGTTGAGGAAGGCGTAGGTGTATGTTGATGTGGAGAAGAAGTATATACATTATTCGAATTATGTGGTGTTACTCCGTTAACTGAACCATTAGTCTAAATAAAAATAATAATTATATGAAATGAGTAATCATATATGAAAATATGAAATTCAATCATTTTAATTGTAATTGAATAAAATATAATTAATGACATACTATTGGAACATTAGTAGCCTGAGGGGGGACAGCTATTGTATCCGTAGGTGATTTAACAGATGGAGTTGCAGATGAAGTTGAACCCCTCTTTTTTGAAGCAGCAGTAGTCCCACGACGTGTATATACAAAATCAGGATTTGATTGTTTAAATTCCTCTTTTAATTGTCGAGCCCTTTCATTATAATGATCTTTTCGAGTCTATTTTCAAATAAGAATTCAAATAATAAAATTAATATAAAAATATTAAAAGAAATATATGTAAACATATAATATATATAAATATATATATAAAAATATATAAATATATAATTGTAAATATATAAATATATAAATATATGAATATATAAATGTAAATATATAAATAAATAAATATATGAATATATAAATGTAAATATATAAATAAATATAAAAATATATAAATATATATATATATATAAATGTAAAGTTATAAACATACACTATCCATGTTTTGCCATTCTTCGCCTAAAATTTTGCTAACTTGAGCAGTTTGCATGTTAGGATCATTCTTTTGCAATTCCGGTCGACGTTCACTAGAGAATATAATGAACGCATTCATAGGTCTTTTTGGTTTATGATCTTTTGTAGAAGGAATACCAGAAGATGTATCAGGATTCTTAACATCTTGAGTAGGTAAAGTATTTGCCTTTGGTACAGGAGTAGAAATTGTATTCGCAGGAGCATTCTTTGAAGGTTTTGCCTGAGCAGCAACATTAGTCTGAGGAAAACTTGATGGTTGTTGTTGTTGTGATGGAGTATTACCACCAGCAATCATGTTAGTACGCACCATTTGTTTTGGAGTAGATTTATTTTGAGAAGGTTGCATCTGAGGAGGATCCGAAGATTGTGAAGATGAAGGTTGTTGTTGCTGTTGAGAATGATGCTGTTGCTGTTGCATTGATTGAGAATGCTGTTGATGCAACTGTTGAGATTGTTGAGATTGTTGAGACTGTTGAGACTGTTGATGATGCAACGGTTGTGGATGTTGCAATTGTTGTTGCTGCTGCTGTTTATGTTGTAATTGAGAATGCTGTTGATGTAATTGCGATTGTTGATGTAATTGCGGTTGTTGATGCAATTGAGATTGTTGTTGAATTTGAGATTGTTGCGAATGCAACTGTTGAGGAGGCAAAACTTGTTGAGCAGGTACACCTGGTTGTACCATGGTTTTTTGATTTGCAGGTTTCGTTATTAGTGGAGAAGCTTTATTTTGACTAATAGAAGACCTATTATGTATTGATTGTTGTTGTTGTTGAGCAGTAATATTAGGAGAAGTATTATTATAATTTTGATAAGGACTCCGACTAGTTTGATGACTCTGACTTTGCTGTAATTGTTGCTGTTGAATTTGTTGTTGATGTTGAAACTGTTGCTGAGATTGTTGAACATTGGAAGAAGTGGCTTGTTGAGATGAATAACCTGTACTTATACCACCAACAACATTTGGAGAAATAAAACTATCAGTAGAATTATATCGTTGTTGAGCAGTTTGTTGCTGCTGATTAGCATAAGACTGTTGCTGTTGTTGCTGTTGTTGTGGAGTAACATGAGATTGTTGTTGCTGTTGTTGTTGTTGTTGTTGAGCGGTATAAGATTGCTGTTGTTGTTGACCATGCTGATTACTCATCATATAATTATTAAGGTTGTTGTTATATATAGTAGCATTTCTTGGTTGAGCAGCCATTCCAGAAATACTACTAGTACCATATATATTAGTATCAGTCGACTGACGTTTAGGAGTGACCGAACCATTTACAGATGGAGAAACAGTTGAATGGGCAGCCGAATTAGTTATACTATTAATAGAAGTACTAGGCGAAGAATTTGGAGTATAATAACGAGTTTGTGGTTGCCGTGTTTGTTGATGCTGTTGTTGAGCTTGAGATTGAGAATAACGATTAATGCCACTATTCACATAATTTGGTTGATTGTTCGGAGATATTGAAGTTTGAGTGGATGGAGTGTTTGAAGCCAATGTGGTTGTTACCATCTGATTATCCATAAGAGAATCGGTATCAAGATCAGCTTGCTAAATAAATAAATAAATATAAATATAGAAATAAATAAATAAATATATATGTAAATATATATATATAAATATATATAATATAATATAATATATATATATGTTTATATATTGACATTATTATTAAAAAAAGAAAATGATGAAACTGTAGATAAACATTCAGATGAAAAGATCCATACTTACAGGATCCTCTACCACAGCAAAATGACTCAGATTAGTAGCATCATTTGAAGTCATTGTATGCCTTGAAAAACTACTAACACCTAAAGAACCACCCATACCAGCGATCGAAGACATATTTCCTAAACCAATATTATTACTAGTGTCCATTGGATATAAAGCTTGTTGACGCATCAATGAAGATGCGACAGATGAAGAAGAATTTGGAGTTGGAAGAGAAAGTATGCTATTGTTATGAGTGGTGTTATGAGGTTGTTGAGGAGCAGGGGTAGGAGAAGTATGAAATGCTGATAAAGAAGCCATTGAAGGTTGTTGATTATGACCACCTGCTTTAAACACATGAAAGAAATGAGAGGGATTAGATGAGATGAGATGAGATGAGATGAGATGAAATGAAATGAAATGAAAATGAATAAATTAAATAAACATACCTATTGCAGAATGACTTTGGTAAGTATGATCATCACCACTTATTCGAATAGTTTGTTGTGGCAACCTTCGTTGTTGCTGGTGTTGCGTTTGTTGCGCTTGCTGTTGCTGCTGAGTAGCACCGTATAAACCAGAATTTGCATTACTTCCGCTAGCACCACCAGCCCCGTATAAACTACTCGTCAACATATTACCTCCATGACTAGCCTGAGTGTTTGTACTACCGGATGAACTAAGATCAGCAGCATTCCAATTGTTTTTATTCTGCCATGATAAATGTTGCTGTTGTGTAGGTTGTTGTATCTGTGACTGATGAGGGCTTATGTGAGTACCGTAACTGGCGGCACGTAGATCACCACTAAATCTGGAACCATAATTAGGAGTGAAAGCATTGAATTGTGAAGCAGCGGCACCATGAGTCGGTAGACCAGCATGAAGCACAGCAGGAGTCTGTTGTGCTTGAGGGACTGGTTGAAAGGTTTGACCATATGCGGGATAACTGTTTCTTTGAGTGTTTTGTGGTTGATTTGATGGATATCGATTATTATACATGATTATGTACTTTTTTTTTTTTTTTCAGCGATGCGTTAAATTCAGGAGTTACTGTAAAGTTAATTTACTTTTTTTTAAAAAAAGAAAACTTTAAAGAAACTTTCAGAAAGTTAAATTGTAAATGCAATCACCAACCTTTAACAGTTCTCCACGTGTAAATCAAAATGATCAAAAAAGATTTAAACCAATTTCCTAGCGTGGTTTTTTTTTTTTCTCGTGCGAGTTTTTCTCTTTCTTCGTATTAAAACTTTTTTTTTTTTAATACTTTATACTTTCTTAACACTTTCTTAATACTTCTTAACACTTCTTTATACTTCTTAACACAGCTTAATCTATCTGATACTAAATACTACAACGGACCTAATTTGTTGACGTGTTTAGAAAAACGTGTCGAGTAAGGTCGGAGTT